AATAAACACATGGACTTTTGTGACGCTTGCCAAACTGATCATCTTACTAAATGTATTTTTAAATGCTGGATATTGTCAAGACTGCCACAAAAATAATCGGTGCAAGTGCCTTAACACTATTCAATAGTAAGTGTAATTCAGGCCTAGCAACCTGTAGTGATATATCAAATAAGATGTATGACAAAATGTATGTAATCCAAAGATGATGCTCGCAGAATCTAAGTCTAATTCAAACAAAATTGCAGTAAATGTCTTTAGACTTACTAGTAAAGTCTCTAGCATTTTCATCTTTTTAGAAAAAACACAAGTATGTTTCTTCTGCAATTGAAATATCAATTAGAACTTACCACATAATTAAATTGTAAAATTGTGGATTCATACAGTTTTCCTGCAATAAAGTTATTCCAGACAGGTTTACATAGTAACTTTAACCAACCATTTAGCCTCAGCATCTGAGCATCAGCAACACTTGACATTATGATGCACTGCTTGATCACGAGCCACAAAGAAACAGGTTCAACATGATGATCTTGGCGCCAGTCCTCACATCAGATATAAAATCAGATGACAATTTGGCAAACTTTATCCCAAAGTCCTTTAAAGATCCTGTGAAAAAGATGTATTCACTTCTAGTTAAACTGTGACCTCTGAAAAATAGTGAACATTTCAAGTCCGAATGAAGTCGAAAATAGTTGACGTACTAACTTCTGTACAAGCAAAGTCATTGATCAGTAATTTAATGATCAGTCCAGCCCATGCAAACTGTCCATTTTGCCTCTCATACATCATTAAATTGCTACACCATTCGATCAGTATTGCCCCACATGGATGAAGAGCTTAATATCATCTGAAAGTAAACAATGACTGAGCTCAGTGCAAATGGAAAATTAAACTACTCAAGGAAACATAGTATAGGTCCTTAAAACACAAGGTGTAAAGTGACACTGGTGGATTAATAACATTGTTTAGGAAAGGCTGAGAGAAAAGTGGGTGAAATAGGGAATATTCATTAGTATTGCAACAGCATTGTAATAGTGTACAAAATCAAAAAAATAAATCTCAAGATGTGTATAATACTGAGAGAAGCATGGAGGGAAGTGGAGTTATAATACACCTAGTATTTTACTCCTACAAAGTGAACAGGAGCAGAGGTTGAAACACAAAATCCACCAAGTTGTGCTAAGAAACACAATCACAATATCACAGGGGAATCGATGAGGTGGGCGTGACAAAAGACCCTGCAAGCGTTTTTTAAAATCAGAGTTCACTCTTCAAATTACATTTACAGAATATATATATCTATATATTTACTGTATATATATTTATATACATACAGAAAAGATATTCCCCAAATAAAAAGGTACAGTAGACCACCAAAAATCAAATGATGCAAGGAAAAAAAAAAAATCTGGAAAAGAAGCATCATTGTCTTATTTACAGATGCACCTGGCCAACCTTTACCTACCTATAAAAATACTATCCACTTTTTTATTTTTTTATTTGTATAACAATGGTAGAACTGTCCAGTGACCCATTATCTGAATGTCTTTATAATTTGGTTAAAAGACAATGATTATTTCCATTTTACACTTTTAACATCAATTCAATACATTGTAAACTGTGCTTTCTCAACCGCTGCCATCTACCCCAGTTATCATGGTATGGTAGAATATATGCATATGAATCAGTGTCAAATATGAAGTATGACAGCCATACACAGTTTGATTATTTAAAGATGTTAGCATTATGTGTTTGTGAGCTGCATTATAGTTTCCCTTTAAAAAAAGTTTTTGATGAAGCTATTAATGAGGATTTTATATTGAAGTTATCTGAAATGTAACATGGGTTGATCCAATACAGTAGGAGCATTTAGACCACAGGTGGATAGATATAACAAATGCTTTGAATACAAGTCTTCTTGATGTAAATAAAAAGCTTACAAAAAGTGAAAGAGAGCACACTCTATAAACACAATGGCTGTGTCCCAGTTCAGGGGCTGGACCCTCTTTAGTGCCTATATTTTGGCTGGATCTGTCCTGGTGGTCCAACAAGGTCTGTCAAGCATCCCTTTTCGTGAAGGACACACCTGGTGTATAATTTGAGGTCTTCAACATCAAATCACATTTACTAAACCATTGAACAATCTATTTTAGGGTGTGAACAAAGAGAATAGGTCTTCTGAGGGCAGCTTTTTGATAACACTTGCAGAATAAATAAGTTGTTAAGATGACAATATGCACCTGGACAGCCATTAGTTTTGGTCAGTTTTAAACTAGTTTCATTTTGTAGGTTCAGCCTGAACTTCAGACACTGGATGGCACACAGAGCCCCTGACTTGGGACATAGCTAGGAATGGCTTCAACGTTAAGTAGAGAACATGACAGACTTGAGATAATGAAACCTTCAAACTGCATATTAAAAATAAAACATCTGCTGTGACAATGTGATACCCTGAATAGCAAACACAAGAGTTTAAACAACACCATTTACAATACTAATATCAACATTTCTTTGAAATATATTTAAACCCAAAACAAAAGTGGATGCAGAATAAAAAATGATAGCTGTTACTATAAGGCCAGTTTACTTAGTCATGAAAGGGAGTTATTGTGCTCCTTTAAATAACTACTGTGCCTGTGAGGCTTTCTGTACCTTGACACAGAATATAATATGTTTTCACATGAAACTATGACTCCTGTTAACATTTGACCAAAATCACTTTTCACTTCCAGATTGTTTTAGTCTTTGTTCGTGTTCACTCCACACATAGCTGCTTTTCGGTTCCACTTCTGTACAGCTGAACAGTGTTTGCTACATACAATTCACAGTCACCTCTGAGGAAAAAAGAAAGGATGGCAATCTACTCTGGTCTCCTCTGCCAGTTACAGTGCACCTTCTCTCCTGCTAGCTTTTGTAACATTGATGCATTGGCCTGGTAACATTTCTAGAATGCTAATACCTTAGTTTTAGCCCCGCTGCAGGATTACAACCTATTGCCTGTCGTTCACGGTTTCTCAGCTGGTGCACTGGGTGAGATGTCGGGTAACATGATTTCCCAAAAGAACAAAAAGGGAAAGTGGATGAATTAGCATTCAAAAAGCTAAAATCCCCTTGTGATGCTCCGATACTGAGAGCACCAGCAGGTTTTCTCCTTCACAAGATTGGCTTTATTTTTCCATAGAGATCCATTACGATGCCTTTGGGTGACTATCCACTGCTGTCATTGCACTTAAACAAACGACCCAAAAGTAGTCTACAAGCACTGCAACTTATACCTAATGGGTGATGGTAAAAATAAACTACACATTTACTGACCTTAACAATCTAAACACATAGAGAGGACGCTGACAGACATTTACACAAAGACAGTATACATAAATGAAATCATCAGAGCAGATGAACACATCTTAATCAAGTTAGCAACAGAGCAATGTCAATGATAATTAACAGCGAGCTGACTTCAAGAACCATCTCCTCACACCTATAAAATTTCCATTTGCACATTTCAGCAGTGTGTTTACTGTGGTATCAGGGTGCTAATCTATCTTCCATTATATGTTTTCTTCAATAGGTTTGATGTCCCATTTTAATGTGGCAACTTGTGTCTCAGCTGGAGCTCAACTGAATGATTATTGTTCCCCATAAAACCTGAGAAAGGGGGAGAAACACTGTGCTAGGGTGACATCTGTGTTTTGGACATGAAGTCATCAACACTGCTGAACTGAACCTTCCCTCTGCCTGGTATTTTCAATGTAGAGGCACAAGGTTGTGTAACAGTGGTTGTGTATTGGTATGCCAGCAGTGACACATACACAGGCATTAATCGGTCTCCAAATACATGACATTATCACCTAATATTCAGGGTGGGCGGTATGAATACAATCTGAAATAAGGGCATGTGTAGATTATTATTATTATTACAAATATGTTCTGTTCATTCAATTGAGAAACTGTTTATAGATGGAAATATCGGTTTTTGGTACACACCAACAATTGTACACATCAAGTTTAATTTACCAATCATGATCTGTTCTTGTGAAAGAAAACAGGAGAACAATTTGTTATGCAGCTTTTGAGGGATCTTTCTAAAGTTGAAAACATTTAAGCCAGGTGATATCAACAATAATTTCATCAGGTTAATATCTGCTTGGGCATAAGGCTTTTTAACAAAAAGCCTGCATTAGAAACTGGAGGTAGGAGGTCAAATTACTTCATTTTTTAGACTGTCTCATGTGATTTCCTACACTTTATGGAAGCGCAATGCCAAATCGCTAGAGTACCCCTTTAATTTAGTGAATTATATAACTAGAAAATCAGGCTTTTGTGACATTGATGCAGAAATACAATTACCAAAATTAAGTATGTATTATAAAACAAGAAATATCAAAAGAGTAGCTACTTGGGTATATATTGTACGGACAATTGACACATTTGTTATACATCGTTGATACTGTATCTCCCAACCCCAATGCATTACTATCATATCATTAATAAGAGTGGGTATGCTCCTTTGTAGGAAATATTCCTGATGAAACAAAGTCTGAGGTGCGAGCATCTCACTTTAAATTGTGAGTGCAAAAAAAAGATGAATTGCCACTTAGAGCGATAATAACAGCAAAGTCATTTGGCTGTGTCAGAGCATTAAGTGCTATTTAATTATCAACCCCAGCCTAAGTTAGGCTTCAAAGTCATTTGACAACAGATGCTAGTGGTCTCCGTCAGAGTTAACTGTGGCATCCGGCAGTACTGAATGAGTACAGAAAGCTATAGCCATCAGTGGATTCAGTGATAACTTATAATATCTCACAACAAATGTCAAATAACAATAGAAAAGAAAATTTCCCATTTTCTCATAGTGTCCATTTCAACAGCCTCTCTCTCTCCCTGTTCCACTTCCAAGCGCTGAGAGACAGAGCAAGGTAGTCGTGAATACTTGGTCAAAGTTCATTTTCAGTTTTTCTGACAAACAATAGTATGAACACAGAGAGGTCCCCCCCCCCCCCCCAACAAGTTTATCCTCATAATTTTATGTCTCAGCTCGGTCCACAGAGCTTTTTTCCAGGATTTGATTTGTCTTGTAATGACATGTAATTGGCTTATTTACAGCCCTGCAGGGTGAGCCTCATTGCCAGAACTACATTGCTCATTTGTGGCTTGGTGTCTGTGCTCATTGCGTTAGTGTAAGAAAAAGTGACAAAGTAAACAGATCCCTGATGCAAAAAAAAAAAAAATGAAAATAATTTCTGATCTCGATTCTAAAAGCGTATTATTTTTCGTTTATATTCACCATCGTCACACTCCTTTCCCTGTTGAAATATATGTCCATACCATGCCACTGCATACACCATTGGTATCATCAGTCACAGTGGTGCTTACAATGATCTGATGCAGGTAATATTGAAGTGGATGGCATGCTGGTTGTGGATGAAAGGGGGACAAGAGTGACGTGGGAAGTTCAGGGTCGTCTTCGGAGCGAACAACCTTATAAATCCCAACCTAGCTATGCCAATAATCTGCAGAATGCTTTCCACCAGGTACTTGGTTGATATCAGTTTTTCATAAAACTGTGGTGACATTTACTTTCCTGTTCACCCTTTTCCCTGCACTGCAACACTGACTGCCATTATTGGCACACTCTGTGTTCCAGCACAAGGTCAAGTGAGCTTCTCCTCCAGAATATATTTCCAGTGCCAGCGAGCTTATCCGTCAGTATGCATGTATACACTTATGAATTAATGTATGGATATTATTGGTGTGTCAAGGCTCCAGGCATGTTAACATGTTTTAGGTATGATATGAGCTGTGTGTGATAAATGTTTGAATGCCATTACTGGTGCAGCAACATGTAAAACTCAGAGAAGCGTGTGGACATGCATGCAAGCCACATCTGGGCTCTTCTGCTTGACTGAGGGTTTGCTGGTGAGTCACGACACAACGCCATATGCGTGTGTCATTGTATAGATTGCACACAATAGCAATGTGCGCATCATTATAGGTGAAATATGTGCTAAAGAAACACATGGTGAACTGTAATTAATGGGTGTACAAAGAAAAGCATGAAAGGTCATGGCAATAATTCTCTCTTTGGGCTAACCTCAGTTCATGTCTCCTTTTTTTCTGATTAAACATTTCAATTATTTCATTGTGTTGTTGTTGTGCCTCTCTGATACTTGGGATGGCAGGACAGTGTGCTCCACAATGGAACCAACATTGAAAACGTGTCTACTTGCTTTCATGGATAGAGCTGAAAAAGTCAAGTGAGGCTGTCAGTGACTGTTATTGTAGTCCTGTCAAGACAAGGCAGAACTTGAGAGTGAAACTAAAAGACTTGCAGTTCAACATAACAGAGAGACGTGTCCAGGAAGGGTGCAAGGAGAACCCAGGCTGAAAAGTACTGCATGGAAACAAGAGGCCTGTTTATTTATCCCCCTCCCTTCCCTCTATTCATTCGTCATTGTGCTACAGGTGGGTCACTACACTACAGTGTTCCTCTGCCTGTATGGAGGGGGTGGCAACACATTGCCGGCTTTCATAGCAGCCTCGGACAAGTATTCCTGGTTTTCGGCCACAGCGGGGCGAATGCGTCCATTCTGCCGGTAGAAGAAGCGCGTGCTGCAGTCCTGCAGGTACTCAGGGTTGTGCAGTGAGGACTTCGGGGGTAGACTGTGCTGCCAGTATTCAGGATTGTCAAAAGTGGCCTTCTTGCCTTTCTTATCAAACATTATGGTGCCGCTGGCGATGCCTGAGTGCAGAGCGTGTCCTGAATGGCCCGGGTGCAGGGTGTGTGATGGATACGATTGGTGGGGGAGGTGGCCAGGGGGAATCACATATCCAGAGGTGGAGACCACGTGGCTTGACGTTGATGGGTTGACCGTCTGCGATATTGATTGAGCAGCAGAGGACCCTGGGCCAGAAATGGACACTGCGCCAGCCAATCCGTTCTTGTCCCCAGGGTTGAGGAAGGTATTCAGGTACAGTGGCTCGTTGATATACTCATCGTCCCCGTGAGTGGACTGGCTCTTGGTGGCAGCAGCAGCTCCAGCCATGTGCAGGGTGTGGCAGCCGGCTCCATCAATCACTGCGTGGGCGTCACCATTCCTACGGCGGGTGACGAAGGGGTTTTCCTCTACTGGGTTGAGATAGTCTGCAAACAAACAAAACAGTCATAAACTATACAACAGTATTCATTTCCGTAACTTTTGGGTTTGCTTATCATATCTCAATGTGCAAAGAAATAAACACAAATTAGTCAATAGTTTGTCAAATGAACCTGAGTTGTTCTTGTCTCTCATGGCAGTCATGTAGCCTTCCTGGTCCTTGTCTCCTTTTACTCCTCGCTCTGCTAAAAGACCGGTGGGATCGGCACTGTAACGCTGTCCACTACTGTCCTCCCCTCCACCTTTAAAAGGAAAAAGACATGATGGATTTTTTTTAAAGAATATGATACTTAATTAAGTGTATCTCCATGAATCATGGACATGGATTTCTCTTGTCATCTAAAACCTTCAATGTTATTCACCATAAACAAGAATAACACATTCATTTCATTCTTGTGTGCTGTTATCTTTGTTCTGTGATTAAACCCTCAGGGCTATTGCTAATGTCAAACGCTTTTTATATTATATTGATTACAGGGTATTATTGACCTGAGATGCACTTCATTATTCATCTGTTGACAGTAGATAGATCACTATCGGTACCTGAATAAACAAACTCATAAACAACTGCCACTATACGAATGGGTATAGTATAATATGTAAAGCTTGTACGGTTACATTTTCAGTTTCATCACCCAATTTATTTTGCAAAGGAGGCATAAATAGGTCCCAAAAAAGCATGTAAACAGGCTCAACACAACTAGAGGCTGAAACTGCTGCTGCTGCTTCTCTGCCTGAGAGGTGTAATATGTGGTTCAGTTTGGCCAGACAGCTGCTCATTACAAGCTTAGCCTTTGCGCTCATCTCCCAAATCCTCTGCTGGTGAGTGATCCATCATCACAGTAAAAAACAGCGAGGGAACAACTGATAGGTTGGGTTAAAGAAGGGCGAGGGCCTGTCGCTCGCTTGAAGGTGGTTTTCATTGATAAGTTATTGCAGCAAATTATGGTTTATATATTATAATTCAAGGATTTGCTTATACCAGTAATCACAGTGTATTGGCTAGGCACTGGGAGTGTGGGGAAAGACTATGTTGTAGGATGCAGGGCCATACAAAAAAGTTTGAAATGAATAAAAATGTACTGAAATTATTAAATAACAATTCATAACTGACAAAAAAATTATAATAGTAAACATCACCATAAGCTAAAAAGGTTATTCAACAACCTAAAATAGTAAAAAAAAAACAGTTTTAATACATCCATTCAATTTAAAATCATTGACCCTGAGAAAACCTATTTGTGGACTGAATTGTCGACAACAAGTCAGCTTTTTCGTATATCAGCTGTTTTGAGATCACACCCACATGACACACAACAAAAGTATTGGTTTTAGGAAAGTGCCATGAGACTCTATGTTAATCCATTAAGAATTCATTGTGCGTTTACGTTGCAAATACATTGCTTATGTAAAGAGGAATATAATTGGGATATGTAAAAATTATGCAGGAGAGTAGATCAGCAAGCTAAGGCAATTATCACAACATTGCTCAGAACTAAGTGTTTTATTGATTACCAAAACATTTCCGAATACAAACTTTAGTCAAATGTCTAAAATAAATCGATTACAACTCTAAAGCTTTCCATCAAATATATGAAAGACATTTCCAACAGCTCAATTAACCTATGTCTTGGTTTTATAAATACTGTTTCTATTTCAATATGGATCAGTTTCAGTCGTTACCTTGTCCAGCAGTGAGCGCTGAGCCCGGCACGAGGTTGCCTGACCTCGGGGAGGCCTGCTTCCTCAGGGTTCCATTGCAGCGAGGGTCGTCCAGGTTACCGCGGCCAAATCCAACACCAATCTGCCCCCCTAACGACTGGTCCTGTGGTAGGAGGCAGACCCCAGAGACAGGAGGAACAGAGACCACTCTGGGGAGGGTGGCCATAATGTCCTCCATGCTGTAGCTGGGGTCGTGGTAGCCATACTGGTTCTGAGAAAACAGAAAGAGGGTTAGAGGATTGGGGACAGGGATGTCACAATAAACAAGAATAGCCATTAACCACGCCAAAGCAAACCCTGAGACAGTGGGGAGTTATTGCAACGTTTGTGTTTTGCTGTTCTTCTATTCATTATCAACGTTCAGCTTATTTGCCAGTAAGTAAATACATGTTGTATTTTCCAGTCTTTGATCTACAACGGTTCTGAGAGCAGGTTATTGAACAATCAAACAAACATACAATGTACTGCAATAAAATAAGCAATTAACACATACCATAGAAGGCATTGTTAATAATAAAACGTGTTTGTGCATAAAGTCCATACAATAGACACATTCTTTGTACCATTGTTGATCTGTAATATTTCAATGTGACAGGCAGGGGAGACAAACAGCAGTGCCAAACAGTGATATGGCAGCATGACTGCCAAGGACAATTTAATTAAAAGGATTTTAATTAAAAGGCTCCATGCAGCAAAGTCTTAAAGTAACCATATCAGCCCTGCCGTGCTGTGTGCATTTGTGTCTAGGCTCATAACAAAAAAGGGGCTCTTTTGTAGAACCTCACTGGGTGCTTTTTCGGATTGATCTTTTATCCCTGGATTCCAGAAAAAGTTAGTTTTTTGTTTCAAATTCCCTTTCTTAGTTTCTTCTGCATGGCCTCTGAGCTCTGAGCAGTCTAAAGAGATCAAAAATCATTTTCTTCCCCTGTGGCACTTATTTTCACTTACATAAATGAAAGACAAAGAGGGGGAAACGTTTGTGGATTACTGGTCGGTGAATGAATAGGCAGATTAAAATCCCATTTCTGATCAAACGTTTCCTCTTAATTTATTCATCAGGTTCCCTTATTATTGATGATTTTTTGGCATCCTGCATGGCACGAGAAAGTGGTGCAACAGGCTCAACAGGGATACAGACCCACATAGCCTTTTATCACAAATTAGAGATGGGTCAGTCACTGATGTGTAGTATGGGTGACTCACAGGATGTCTGCTCCTTGTCTACTGTGGAGGTTGTAAAACCACGACTAACCTTGCCATTAATCGCGACGCACAGTCTTTTTTTACTTATAATTCTTGCAAATTCTGAACTGTAATTGTTAGACATGTGGATGGGTATTAACAAATAATATTGTCTTTCTTTGGCAATAATTGATTTCATTAAACTAATCATCATGATTTATGTGGATTAATGCAACTGTATCAAAAATCATCTAGTATCAGCCTGAATAGAAAAACCCCAAATCGTGGAGGACACATTTACCAGTTTTATGCAAATAAGTAATCTGTCACCCCTTGAAATGCACCAAACAGAGTTGGAGTTGTCTCGCATTGGCATTCGGCAGGCGTTTTATCCTGACACAAACACAGGGGGGGATATTGGAATACAAAATGGCTGAGTTGCCTGGCTGTGTGACTGGTTTTGTGATAGATTTAAGTCCAAAGATAGACGGACACGTTTGAACAGTTGAACAGTTAAATAACTGAGGGAATATTGCTGTAAACCCCAATTTTGAAGAAGACAATTACCATAGTTTCACAATGGAATTAGACCAAGGAAACACACAGAGAAAGAAAGAGGGAGATGAAAGTGAAACTTAGAAAGCTGTGTGAGTTCTGCTTTAAGATTTCAATCGTTTGTGCTTCAACAGGAGAGTCCTGAAGTACATGCTGAGAAAATTCATTTCCACATCACTTTAGGGACCATCTAAATGTTCTGAATCACTACTTTGAGTTTACACCGTCTTCTTTCCATCATGATAGTCACCCTGCTGCCACACTCAAAAGAAAAAGGTAGTCAAAAAGGTAATGTAAAATGACAATATAAGCAACTACATTTAAATGTGTGCTACAAAGTTATATTAAAAGGGACATCTTATGCAAATGTATGGCTACATTTTGGGTAACTAGTAAAACAAATTATTTTCACGACACTAATCCTGAATTAACCCTTTGGGCTGGAACAATACTTTTAAATATCTGTCTCTTTAAGCTCCACTCTGATTGGTCAGTGTTTCCGGGTCTTTCTCCGTAGATTGAGCCTTGTGATACTTTGACAGTATTCTTATAGCTTCTTTACCCGCTTTATAATAAAAACATACATGAAATCTCACTTGTTACAATATGAGACCTAATACAGGGGTTCCATTTTGTCCAAATATTCATACTTCTTTTGGCCAGAATGGATTATACATCAGTAACTTAAGTTTATTCAGTGTTTTTGGAGTTTATTATAAGACGTCGATACCTTGTTAGAGTCCATGTGTGCTCGGGGAGTGTATGCCAGAGGTGGAATGTTGTAGGAGTGCGGCACCAGGTACTCCTCAGCGTCCATCAGGTCCTCCAGCTCCTCCTCGTCCAGGAGGCTCTGGAAGAACTTGCTGTCGTTTGGGCTGGGCAGCTTCATTCGGTCGTCACCCTGAGAAAAGTTGTGTGTAGATGAGTGTCAACTTTGAGGCCCTTTACATCCTGATTTGCATAATATATTTCAAACATTCACCTTAATTGATGTGTAATGTTATTTGATTTCTTCTAATGATGCACTTTGCGTTACTGTGTTTGTCGACTAATTTCAGGCTGGCTCAATCGTTTAAAGTTTTACACACGGGTAGTGAAATAAGTACTTGTAGTAGTGTATTTTCTTACAAAGGAATGAGGAAAGTAAAATGTAATTTGTAATAGAAAATAACATAATCTAAACTCTGTATACATTTATACAAAACAAGCACAGTGGAAAACTGGCCAGTTTTCACTTTGAAGGTAACTACTCTGTATTTTAGACGCATAGAACCGAAAGAATGTCATGATATCCTGATATTTGAGGTAAAGATTGACCTACCTGAATGACCAGGTATCTTTGGGGATCACGAGCCATCCGAGTGAACTCTGCAGCCAGCTCCTTGAACTTGGGCCGACTGTCTGCATCAATCATCCAACCTGAAGAAAGTGTTTATGTTAGTGTCTGAATAATATGATGTTCTAATACATATTGAGATATCTAAACCTGTGAATACCTGATTTTATCTCTTCATTAAGTCTGTACATTTAAATTGGACCTTGTAACCTGCAAAAACAGTATGTTGTTCTCTGAGGTAAACCAAAGCCTCATCTACACCAATCAAGATCCAGTTTTCTCCTGACTGTGAACCGATAGCACTTAAGTGGGAGGAAAGGTGCATGTGTCAGTGTTGATCAGGCGGAGCATTTCTCTATTCTTCACACTTGTCAAAGGTTCTGCCTACGCAGACCATGTCAAATATATATATATATATATATACATCCTTTGAGCCCTTACTAACATACTTTGCATTTGAACTACATGTGAATGTGGCTGCATTGTGAGCTACTAATGAGTTAGAGCGAAACCTGTGTAGAACAGCTCCTTGACCTTTGTAGTTTTTAGACAGTATTCCTTATAATCCCAGCCACTCATTCTTACTGTGTCAAAGTTATGTTACAAGCATGTGATCACACATTAACAAAAATTCAGCCAAGCTATGTATATATATATATATACTATCATAAAACATATAAAGCATTAATAATAAAAAGACAATCTGTCTTCATATCACCTCAGCAGTTTGAAAGTCTTCGCATTTTCTCAGCAAACTTGAAGACAAACCTGATAATATAACTTCCCTCTCCTGAAGGTCTCAAAAGATTTTCAATTTAAACCAATTTTCATTATATAAAACATGGTTATTTGTTCCGTAATGAAAGATTAAAGTACTTTTTTAATGAAGTTGCTTTCTTATTGTAATCACTTTTTCAATCTGAAGATAAATACTGTTTCATCATTAGAATGGCCATATGGAGTAATACTTCCTTCTGCCAATTTCTCTGTGAACAAATTGGTATTATGCCAAAGTAATCATGTGATCTGGCCTTGTGTAGCGCCCGTCTCAGTATCCGGGGAAATGAGAAATAGAGATCGAGAGATTGAGAGATGTGGCTTTACACACAAGTACACACATACAGATACAAGAGATTTCATATCTTAAATATATAACCCTTTATCCAGTCCACTAGAGCTGCAACTAACTACATTTATTCTTTGTATTTATATTTTCTTCAATGAAACAAATCTGAAAAATCAGAAAATACTGTAAAATCATAGTTTGGTCAGCCAAAACCCAAGATATTTAATTTAATATAATATAAAACACAGAAAGGCGGGAAATCTCCATATTTGAGATGCTGAATATTGAGGTGTGTTAGTTCTGCATGTACGGTATTGTGGTGCAAAAGCAAAGGTAGATAACAGGCAGGTGACAGTGACCTCTGCCCGCTGTGTGTGTGTGTGTGTGTGTGTGTGTGTGTGTGTGTGGTGTGTTGTGTTGTGTTGTGTGTGTGTGTGTGTGTGTGTGTGTGTGTGTGTGTGTGTGTGTGTGTGTGTGTGTGTGTGTGTGTGTGTGTGTGTGTGTGTGTGTGTGTGTGTGTGTGTGTGTGTGTGTGTGTGTTTGCCAGGTTGGCGCAGGTTCGGGGTGACACTGAGAGCCAAGGTGACAGTTTGGACCAGAGGCTGCAGCTTGAGACTGCAGGACAAGGCTGGGGCGGTGCTGGCACCAAACCTTCACCCCGGCAACAGTGGCCAGAGGTTACAGCGCCACCTGTGACCCCAGCGCATGACAGCAGTGACCGACCAATGAGGTCATTATGTTGGTGGTGGATTTGAGCTCATACTGTTATTCATCTACTAACATAACCCCTCCTAAAGTCATTTTGAAGGGTCTCTCACTAGTTGTGCTATCAGAGTTGTGTCAGTAGCATTCATAAACTGAAATATAACAGATGGGTGGAATTTTAGAGTGGCGATATGTCAGCTTTTAATAACTTCATCTTTGACACCACCTAGACCCTCTTATACGAAACAGCTGTTGTGGCCTTTCAAAATTCTCTCTATAAAAGCGTAATTATTTTAGCATGCTTTAACTAAAAAAAACAGTTGGCCCTTTCTTCACCTTTACCATTCAATCAGCTTTTTTGCTAGTTTAAACAGTGGATGGAAACAAAAACGGTAAATCATGGGCAATATTCTGCTATTCAAAAGCAATACATATATTTATGAAGCTTATAATGCAAAATATTTGTTGAGACTGTAGGAAACATGTTGACTTAACAATGGTAATATAAGGCTGTGGTTTGTGGTGGTCTTGTATTTGAGTATATTGGTAAAAGTACTGTATATTTTAAGGCATGTCTGGTAATGTGACCCCCCTTTCTACCTACATTTGACCATGACCATGTAGACGTCGATGGTGGAGATAGGTGGCTGAGGAAGACGCTCTCCTTTCTCGAGTAGGTCTGGGATTTCTCTGATGGAAATCCCATCGTATGGCTTCCCTCCAAAGGTCATCACCTCCCAGATGGTCACCCCTAAAACGGAGGGACAAAAAGAAATAGAGATGAAGCAACGTGAATACAAATGGGAAAAAAGACGACAGTTAAGTAACGTAGGGCAGAAAGAGAACATATGTTAAAAGAGAAAAGGACAAGAGGAGAAAGGACAATGTGACAATGAATAAGTACAGAGAAGATTAAGAGTTGAGATGAGGGGTTAGTTAAAAAGAGAAAAATAGAAGATGGACCAGAACAACTAAAACATTTAAATAAAATAAAGAACAAAGAGAAAAAATGTGTAAGACAAAATAAGGAAGCAACAAAACAAAGAATAAAGAAGAGAAGACAAGACAACACAAGTCCACAGAGGACAGAAGATGAGTGGAGGAGAGGAACTCATCACAGTCTTGAAAGTCATCAGTCAATCAGAACTTTCAGAACTCTTCAGCCTTCATCATGTTAGTATTAATGAGTGGTTAGCAGAGTAAATGCACACTATACTGTAAGATGGAAGTCTAATAGCCCCCGGTCATAGAGGACCACTGGGGACATGGACACATTAAACCATACTGATACTTTTAATCAAACAGACATTATTCTCTTTGATACGACCCATCTTGCATATTTGTTTAGAAAATCATTTTTTTCAAATTACTTTAAGAGTCATTGGTCATCTTAAACAGGAAGCTGTTACATGAAAAAGAGCAATAAAAACCTCATAAAACTGGTAGGATAACATTTTTGCTGACAGGCTCATGGCTTCAAAGACCGATTTTTTAATGCTTAAGTACTTCAAAAAGTAGATCATCTTGTTTACATTTCACAGTGCGTGTGATTGCCACATGTTCAGACAGTTACACAGGGATAGCAAGAACTCAACACTCATTTCCTGTTCATCAGCACTGCTATGATGGCAAAACCTTCTACAGCTGCTTTAGTTCTATAAATGACCTGCTTGTCTAGCAAGCAGTCTGGAGTTTATTGTACAATAGCTGCATGCCATATGCCTGGTTAACTTTCTTCAGAATGTACAGCTTTCCTATCTTCTTTTTAACACACACTTTTTGTCTGCCTACATTTGACTATATTGCTTGTGTTTGTTTTTCAGTGGTTTTCTTTGCAGCCAGTGTGCTCTCTGTCTGGACGATTGTTGATCCTGTCACTCAGTGGACCCTCTGGTTGCTAATCTCATTGGAGGCTCTCTGTTCTGACCCCACTGTGGAGAAATGAACTCCACACTGCAGTCAGGACAGCACCGTCACTGCCCATCTTCTGCTTCAGGCTGAAAACCAACCTTTTGAGACTATAGTACACAACAGTTATTACATTGCATCTCCTTTATAAAGAAACTCAGGCAAATCAAGTCTTTTTATTTGTAGAAATCATTTAAAACACAATGAAATCATTTAAAGTAACAATACATTGGTAAATAATATGTAAAGGCTAAATTAAAGTAACCATATATATTTTTTAAAGAATTAGTGGAATTAAAAGGAGTAAGATGGAGGATGTAATTCAAATGTCCAAAATAGAGAAAATGTTTTGTTTTAAAGCAGAATTGAACATGGCATCCACATTTCGTATATAGACATTTGAAAACAGAAGCTAAAGAACACTATTGCTGTAGCTATTTGCAGGACCAATGATGAGGCTTTATGCTTTATTCTTGCTGGATAATTTCTTTGAGTATCTAGCTTTTGACTGCCCTTTAAGGCTTGTTCGTCAGCACTTAACATTATGTTACTAATTTGTTTAGAGGGCATGCACACACAGCAAAGTCTTGCTCCCATAGAGATTGAACACACACATTGAAAGTCACTTTGCATATAGCTATACAAATAGGTCTGTCTTACATATAACATTTTTGAGGCTCTCATGGTTTTCTACATCATCCAGGTACCCAGAAGGAAATGTTTAACGCCTACCGTAACTCCAAACGTCACTCTGATGAGTAAACTTCCTGTAATGGATACACTCCAGGGCCATCCATTTGATGGGCATCTGCCACGTAAAAAAAAGCATGTTAGTTTTTCAATCTCTTGATAAGTAAACCAACTAAATACGTTTTGACAACAAACAATACTTTTAGGTAGAACGAACTGCAAAGAGAAAAAAGTGGAAAATAGTTTGATGAAAGAGAAGACAAACACACACATGCACACAAACTCCAGCTGTATTGGCAGTCTGCAAAGCAGCTTGACTCCATTAGATTAGAAGGCCAATTCTATTGTTTGCAGTGATGGAGGTTGAGGGGAGGGGGGTGTCGAAGGTTAAAGTGTGTCTGTCTTTCTCTCAGTGGAGGGGATAATATTAGAATGCTCAACATTGAGACAAACCGTTACACACAAAAGAATGAGGGATGAAATAGGCTTTCCTGAGAAACAATGGTTTAAAAACTAAATACAAAGGAGGAAAAAAAGGATGAACAAAGATGAAAAGAGGCTGGCAGCTGAAGTACAGAGAGCTCCAAGGACGTATTACGTTAATACCGTTCTGAGATTCGATTCCCCAAAAGTCAATAAAACGGTCCAATAGAGCAGAAATGTGTCTCACTGACTCCACTAAAACTGTCCTTTGTGATCGGCAAAGTTCCTCCCTTAGGATATAAAACCAAATGTAATGTTGATGCCTGTTGCTGTATTTACAACAGTCAATGATATGGTCTAAAATAGTAATTCAATAATATTGTATCTCGTCAAGCCTTTAAAACCAAACAAAACAAACTACAGACAATAAAAAAGATAACAAGGTCATTCATAACAGGCTCAAATGACGATACAGAAATATCAAAGTAGCCTAGAGTAAAGCAGGGTTTGATGATGTGAGCAATGTACTGCTAGACTATTGCTACTTTTCCTGAAACGGAAATCATTCAAAAAGTTAAAGAGAGAATAATGAAATGAAATTCATTTCATAATTGCCTTCTTGCTTAAAGGAAAAGTCAATGCCATTCTGATATCTGTTTATTCAAAAATAAGGAAACAACCAGCAGCTAGCTGTACTCACTGATGAACAGGTTATATCTCTATTGTCCTTTAATCCTTACAAAAAACAAAGTCTGAAATCTGTGATAAAATTATTTTTGCTGTTAAAAAGGTTTTTATTTTCAAATGATTGGCCTTTCTGTAGCCATGTGTCACTGTGAGGTTGCCAACATCCAGATATGTGTTCGTTTCAGACAGTGTGTCATTCGCACGTATTAAACAGCTGGACATTAGTGTTTAGTAGGTCCAAACAGCAATGTACCAACTGTACAGACGTTAGCTTAAAGCTAGCTAGCAACACACTTACCAATACCAAGCCTCGAACATTTTTGCACTCTTTCTTTTTGTTTCCTCAAATGTTTGTATTTTCATGAAGGCAATTTATAGAGCATAGGGATAAGCGTAAAACAAATTTGTGTTGATATTTACTAGCTTTTTTTATCCATTTGACTTTGCATGCAATTGCACCACCTTAATAAATATATTAAAATACTTAAAAAACATTTATCACCTTTCCTCCATCGGCATTATATTCCTTCTCATTAACATCCAGGAGGCGAGCCAGGCCAAAGTCGGTGATTTTGATGTGGTTGGGAGATTTGACCAAGACGTTTCGGGCTGCCAGATCCCTGTGGACCAACCTACGCTCCTCCAGGTACATCATCCCCTGCAACACACACACACAATAAAACACACAGCGATTATTTTCAATCAAAACCATGCACCTCACTGCAGGCATGAGATGAGGCATGCTCATATGAAAGTCTGACGGCTGTTCAACATCACCATCTGTCTTCATCATCATCATCATCATCATGATCATCATCATCGTCACCATCAAGATACAATTAGAATTCATTTAATTATATGTGTCATCATCATTACCACCATATTGTTATTTTTATAGCAATAATTGAAATCAATCAAACAAGAAGACTGTGGAAAAGCCCTCTTTTGCCAAATGTTTGGCAAAGCAATAATAGCAGCATCCATAAGCATCAACCCGGAGGGCAGTTTTTCAATTTCAATTCAAAACCATAGGAGAGAGGCATGTTGTAGTAAAACATTTAATTCAATATATTTATAAAACAAATAAGAGACAACCTCTCTGGTCTTTTACCGGTATATACTTAATTTATCATGATTATCTGCCTCAAACATTGGTCAAGAAATTTTATCTGGCATTACAATGTGCTCAGATGATTATTCGTTTTCAGAGTATAGATCACCCTCAAAATCCACTTTACGTGTCAAAAATGAACTGCAAATTGAGAAAGCAAACACAGTTGCAAAAGAAAGATATATTTGAATGGTTGTTACTGATCTTTTATTGGGAAATGTTTAAACCAAATAAGTAGTTACTTATTAAGAACACATTCTATTTTTCAGCATCAATCACAAGTCTCTGTCCCAGCCTCCAAAAATTAAGATGACCATTATGTCGTCAAGCTACAAAAGAACAGCTCAGTAGTTGTGTAACAGCTTTTGAGTTGCTGCCTCTTGTGCTACATCTAGAGCCTTCACTGCCTACTGTGCATCACAGCGAGAGTGGACCTGAAGAGGAAGAACAATGGGACCTGAAGGAAAAGTAAGAGGAGGGAGCGAGGGGAGGAAAACTTTCAAATTGGCGAAGCAATAATAGAAGCCACTTTGTTTCAAGTGGCGAGAGCACAGAAAAACAAGGCCTTATTTGAAAATATAACAAATTGGATTTAGCTGGAGTGTGCCGGAATGAAAGGAGGAGTGGATGGAGGAGGAGAGGGGACAGGTGGGGTTGAGTGGCGACAGTCTAAGAGGTGAGATTACATCGGTAAGGCTATAATCACAGTGCCTCATTTGGCTCCTTCCCAGGGGAGAACATGTGGTCTCTGCGCACACCTGCACATTACACACAAACCTACACATACCTGCAGACATACAACTCACATGGAGATACACCTGCGTGTGTATGTGTTTATGAGTGTGTATGTGTAGCGGGGGGGGGTTGAAAGAAGTTGAAAAAAGAACAGAAAAAAGATAATCGACTTTAAGCTGGTATGGGTAAAACAAAGGAAATGACAAAGAGAGTTTAGACATAATACATTTCAAATCCTAAATGCATAACAATTCTGTGACACACACACGCAATCACGCAAGTGCCTAGAGTAGACACCAATCCTTTTTAAACAATGCAGAGTTTGTATCTCATTGTAAAACCTACGCCTTTTTGTCCAATCCCCAACAATGAGTCTAACAGTCTGATTGTGTGCTGAATGTTGTGGACTGGCCTCCCTAAGAGAATGAGGTTTAGTCAGGATACGTTCAAGATGTCTGATACTTTCTAGCCTGCTAATCAGTGTGAATTGTCATTTCATTTCACAACATTATTCAACCTGACGTGTATGAGATGCCTGTCTGATTGGATGGATGGGTGGACCAACATTATCATACAGTACGCCACAGACCATTGAATAATTTCACTGACAGCAGGCTAAATTTGGCAGTTTCATCAGATCTTCAGTTCATGCCGGGACATTGATAAGAATCAGAGATGAGCATCAGCGAAGAAGCTTATTAAAGGTGAGGATTTGTTTGTACTTTTCCATCCACTGGATGTCCGTGTATTAGTTTAAAACCAACCAAACAGTTGCATATAGAGCAATGACGTTAATAAATCACATCATGCCAGACCACACAAAGCTCTTAACAAAGAGTGCCACCTGTGATTATGGGATCAGGAAACCTGGTCTCTCTGATAGCGTTATGTATGATGATCATTAACTGCTGTTCATGTTTGCCTGTAGGAATACTATCACATGGCCCCAAGCTCAATAAGCTCTCATGAGCCAAATGTTAGCTCAGCTGTTGCCAACTTGAAAATATGTTAACTCGTACTAAATTTATGAACTCCTGGCAGCTTTATCTAAGTGTCTAATCAAAATATATTTCAACTATAACACAACAATGAGTGGGTGTTCATTGCCAAAACATTAGGTGATAAATATACAGCTAGACTAGTCCGATGTTACTGCTGCTACTGCTACTGAAGAGAGAGGTCTTATCCCATCTTTCTCAATCACAATCTAAATGTAGCAAATATTCACATTTAACTCAGCAAATGACCTTGTCAGCTGACATGGCAATACTTTTTAAGCAGGTCTACATAACCTTATCCAACAGTAACAATGATGTTGGTTATGCTGCAATGAAACCTTTTTCTTGATCTTTAATAAAAGTAGGAGTGATGACGTGTGATTTTCCTTCTCTCTGGTGTTTTATCCAGCACATGTTACTCAGTGTAACATACAAAAAGGGTTAACAAGGATAATGTTCTGGATCTGAGGCATCCTATAGCGGTCATTGCCTAAAGCTTCCAGATCATCAAAGTCTGTGTGTGTGTGCTCGTCATGGTATACACTGCCAGGTTTCTGACAGATTCTTATTTGTACATAAATCGCGCCCGGTAATCTCCTCAATTTTCGAGACAATTAAGCAGAGGAGGGAGAATGGATGGCTTGGCAGCCCGTGAATTTTAATTTGCCAGCACAATGAGATTGAGAGGGGGAGGTGATGGAAGTGTGCAGGGTGGGAAGTGGCTGCAGACGTGCGTGAGAAACAAACTTTTTCCTTTTTCTACTCGGTTGCTCTCATTTACTGCCCTCCCATGTGGATGTGATGAGCACAACTCACTGCTATAAGTTTGTAATTGCAGCAAACCTGGATACGACAGCCAGGGAAATGCCAGTTGTGAAGCTGTATTTACCAGCCAGAAAATCCAAGGGCTTCAGAGAGACTGTGTTATGATCACACCTCCAGACACAAGCTGCTTTCCAATCAGCAGGGATCAGGCCCATGCCCATGCCCTAAACCCTTCACATAAAGATTTTACATACGTAGGAAAGGAAACCAAGAAAACAATCCCAATGCTAGGTAACAATGGTTACCAGTTTATTATAAACACCTTTATACAAGAATGCGCTACGTTTTCACAGTGACATAAACAAGTATCCTTTGTCATGTGTTTGTGCAAGATCGAAGAAACCAAAGTTCACACATTTGTATTTTTGAACTGTATGAGTCAAACGCTATTCAAATGTTCTCTATAAAAGCTTCCATACTGTATAACCTTCAAAAATAACTCCATCAGATAGGCTTCTGCAGTGTGTGTAGATATGCCTGATTTCTGCCGGATTTACTGAACATTTGCAAAAATAATACAAGCAATGTCCTTCTTTAGTACATTGTAGTGAAGGAAATCCCATTTAAAAAAAAGAAATGGAGGTGAAAAGGGCCTACGCAGTGCTACAGGTTTGCAGGCACAATTCTCTCTCACCAATCAGGAGAATTATGGCTCTCCCGGAAGATATTCTAACCTCCCGTCATGGTTATTTATGTTTATTTCAAAGAGTCATGCGAACGAAACCCGAGTGGACAGGAATGTCCTCAAACGGTTTTGTGAAGACAGATTTGGGGGGTTGGTGGTGGCAAAGGGCTGGAGATTAAATCAATAGGAGAAGAGCGAGGGGAGGTGGCGCCCATTTTTCACCGACTGGCACTTCCCACTGTTGTTTATTCTGGCGAGATAGATACACACACACACACACACACCCCGTCGCACACAGAGGAAGCTGTCAACACACACAGGCAGCACACACACAGGAATCTATAATCAAGTGATTCATCCTTATTCAATGTTATTCATGAGGAAACACTTCTAATGAGATTGAACATCCTACAGAGGCTCTATAAACCTCTTGTGTGTTCTCTTTCTTCAGTGAGTGTGCGTGTTAGGTGATCCGCCTCCCGTGTTGGGGTCGGAACGACGATGTGACACGAGAGGAATTCATTCAGAGCTCACAGGATGCCAACACATATAATTAATTACTTTATTACCCTTAAATTGCACTTTTATTATATGCTATTATCCACAATTATTCAGGTGCCACATTATGTTATTGGTTTAATTAGAATTTCCCTCATATCAGACTAAAACACTTTTTGATATTGTTCATATTTGTGTTCATTATTTAAAATCCATTAAGATGAAAACATTTAGCAGCTACCATATTTTTCGAAAATGTAAAGACTTCCTAGCATTTACATATTTTATGGAAGCACATTTGTAATTAAGGCTGGTCTCTAAGCAATATGCAATAATATAACAACCTTAATTAAAAAAGCTCCACTAAATCAAAGTGAAATTAAATTTCATTGGCTTTTTACCTAAAGGATGTCAGTTGTTGTGGGGTACTGTACATCTTCTTTCAAATGCGGGGTACCAGACTATGTGCAAAATCGTAATTTCTGTAAATGAGAGTATTATATTCTGAGCACCGAATAGTCAGCAGCATGAGTGCATGACTCATCCCTGCTGATTATCTCTTTTATAGTTCAGCCTTTTTGGCTCATTTTAACTGTTATTTCAGTATTTCTGGAGGGCAGGGGATGTTTGGTGACTGTCTTTTTGTTTTATCATATTGTGAGTGCAGTTTTATTGGTTCTTAACGGCGCGACAGCATCTGGTTGACGTAGTGAATGTTTAATGTATGGTTTGGATACAAATAGATCCCAGTGGGCACAAGAGAAGGTGAATCACTGTTTAAGGAATGAGGTGTAACGGATTGGACCAATGTGGAGGAGAAGGGGCGAGGTGTGTGTGTGTGTTTGGGGGGGGGGTTGATAACACAA